AAGCATTCAGGTGTGTATTTGCCGTAGATAGGGAGAAAGATGCAGCAGGGAGAGGGCTGACCAGCACGGGGTAGCCTGCTTGCAGTCAGTACTGTCCTGGTGCGGTGAGGTGATGCAGAATAACCTGCCCTAGGCACCCATCAGCCTTCTTCAGCTTCATTCTGCCCCTTGCTGCAGCGCAGCATCCCCCTTCAGGCACTAAGGTCTGGAGGGCTACACTGTGAAGCTCGGCTTTCTAGGGTCCTTCAAGCACCTGCATGAGCAGCAGTCACTGCAGAGACAGAAACGGCTGGCACCAGGAGCTGGCAGCCTCACTGTTAGCATCTCAGAGGGTTTTTTCCTCTGGACTCATTTCGGTTGGACCGCATGGTCTGAAAGCCCATTAGGACCTGGAACTCATATAGGTGTGATGCTCGTATAGTTTCATCCTAAAAACCCAGTTCATGTGCTTAAAGAGCTCTGTGATACGAAGAATAGCACAGTGAGTGGTAGCAGGCAGGAGCCTGACTTCAAAAGCACATTCCTGATAAAATGAAAACACTAATGTAGAAGCACCTCTAGCTCTTAGAGAGACACACACACACCTTCAGAGATACTAAGCTACCTTGTATTTCCCTTTTGAGAGCCTCAAGTCCTGCCTTAGGCATCTAAGACAGGTACTTAAATTTCGGGAGCTTGAGTGAGTCTCTCATATTTCTCATCATGCAGAACTGGTCAGAGGTGCGAGTTCAAAGTCATAATTGCCCAAGACTGAACATTTTAAAATCAGCTTAAATATTTTTCAGACACTACACTTTTTCAGAGACCAGACCCTGTAAGGAAATGGAAAGTGCAAAACAAGGATTAGTGTTTAATAATAATAAAATTACATTTTCCAAAAGGTTCCTTGGAATAGCCATACCAGAATGAAAACTGGTGTTTCTTTTTGGCATAGGGAGTACTTGAGGGTATTTAGACAATATGTAGCGAAGCTGCTGAATTTCCAAGGGCAGAAACTGTACATTCACAGCTTTTTTAATATTTTGTTTGATGTCAGAAACATCTTAAGGCATTGAATAAACCGAATCACATTTAGAGTAATAGGCTGCAGTATTGACAACCACCTACTCATGTTTATTTATCTACTTTGAGTTGTTCTGATAAAGTCTACACGCACAAAGTAAATAAATATATTTTTGTGGAATCAAGGACTATTTTGGAAAATAATATTTTTCATGAATCTCATCTCAAAGCATATTGATACTGTATATTATTGGTTTGCATTCTTATGAATTCTAGCTTGAATAGACAAAACTTTAAATTACTGATTTTAAAAAACAACCCACTTACAACTAATTTGTCTCCACAAACTTCTTGCTGCACTTAATTAACAAAATAAAATGGCCAACATTTTAAAATATCCTGATTTTTATTTCAAAGGTGCCTTCATGCTACTGGAATGGAAAGCTCTTTTGAAAATCTGGAACTGTATTTTTGAACAGATGTAGGAAATGAAATGTATTAATTCACTGATGAAATCCAGAATAACATGTATTAAAATCGGTAACACTTTCATAATAAAATTATGCTAACACTATAACCTAGCATATGGTTAGTTCTGTGAAGGTCAGATCATCTAAAATTTCCATCATAAAGCAAAGCAAATCAAACCAAATATATTTAGTTATACTTAAGAGTACACGTTTTTGGTATACTATATAACATCACTTCAATAGGCACAGCACTATAAAGAATTTTTTTATTAAACTTATTTAAGAATATCATGACATAAAGAGAACAAATTATATTTTATGCTATGGGTTGTTTGGTTTGCTCTTTTTGGTTAAAATATTTGCTTTCACTTGCATACAGATTTTTAGCAAAAGCTGATAGCTCATTATAATTGTGTTTTTTCATTGTCACTGGGCTGTGTTGACTTACAAAACACTTGTATTCATTATATGTTATGTGTGAAATGAGAGGCTGCAACATAAAGCCTGGGTTTTGACATACGCGTATGAAGTTCACTATGCTTTAAATGGGAATCTCCTGTAGGTATTTAAATTAGAAATATAGCCATTTAATATGTTTGTAAACTATATTTTGCTATTTCAGGATTAGTTATAACACAGAGTTTAAAATTTTCCCTCTATGGTTCAAGACTGAATTTCAAACCAACTTGCTCTAAAAGAGCAAGCCTGCACGCAGTCACCTCTGAATATTCTGTGGGGTCAGTGCACAAACCCCTGCTGCATTTACAAACCAACGCTGACCTACAGTCAAGGCTATGGCCTTATCTTATATTCTCACATCACTCTTATCTTCTTGAAAATAAAAGTATTGATTAAGCCCCACCAGTTTAGCTCTTTGAAATATAGGGGTTTAGAAAAACAAAAAAAATTAATTTACAGGCTAAAGTTTGTCTCTTAAATGTTGCATATTTAATGCCCAGTTACAAAAGTCTCATTGATGAGTACAGCAGAATACTTGACAGAAATCTCTAGAATACATTGGTAGAGTCCTAAAAGTTCATGTCATTAACTCAGTTCTGCACAAGGACCATTTTTTTTAAATTTTTTGGGGGGGCTTTCATATCATGGAATCCCTTAATCTACAGCAATTTGCAATGACACACTTTCTGTTGTTTTGGGTAAATGTTATGTTCATTTAAGCACATTAAACAACGTCCCTTAAACAACTCTTGGTTTCAGTGGTACAACTGTGCACATAACGGTTGAAGGAAAAACATTCGACTGGCAGCTGATTAGGTTTAGATTCTGCTATTACCAGCAGAGCATTTACTGAGGTGTTAGCACATGCCAACGCTGCGATAGCTGAATGCCACAGCAGTGCACTGAAAGGAAGGAGATGATTCAGGAGCACAAAGGAGGAGAACTGTGATTAACAGATATCAGGCTTCTGTTTTCAGCGCTGTCAGTGCTCTGTCAAAATTTGTGTTTCCAGTATATGCTTTCTTGACAAGGACAGTGCCTGAGTTGCCATCGTTAAACCCCTTAGACTGTTGTAGCTTTGGATTCAAAATGTCTGGGGTGTGTACTCTCTCAGGAAAAAACTCGAGATCCCACAGACAGCCATGGTAGTTTTATGTGTCGTTCAGAGATCAGGATGTGACCCCCTTATTTAGGGACAGTTCATATAAACAATCACACGATGATGACTATGGAAATGTTGGATTTTGATGACACTGAAAGAATTTAATAGCTGGATTATGACATCATTCCACTGTATTTAGAATGGAAAATAAATGTGTAACCAATGGAAAATAAGAAGTAAGCATGTACTGAAAGGCATTTGAAAGTGATAAAAGTCCCCAGAAAATATATTTTCAGATTATTTGGAACTAGTATCAAGTGAGATCAGCTATACTTCAAGGCAAGGGTACTTTCATACACATAAATCCAAATACTTCTAATGCAAAGCAAAAAAACCAAGACATGATTTGCCCCTGCAGTTCATTCATTTTTTGTCCCTGCCTTGCATTTTGAATTGTTCCCATTCTGAAAAAGCTTTCCTCTGGCTTCATTTTTGAAGTTTAAATTATCTTAATATGTGGAAAGGGATGTGACAGAACTAGTCTTTCTGCTAAAGAGGGCAGATGGTGTCCATAATCTTCACAAGCTATGTGCTTTTATAAGAAGTCGGGGGGGGGGGAAGAAGTTTTGATTTCAGTATAATAAACAGAAACCCCACAAAGTACTATTTAAAATGTTAAGCACACACTGTAGCTGCACTAACTGTTCTTCTTACAGTTCTTTAGGTTCTCTTATCCTGTCTGGCAAAAAAAATCCCTCACCCTTTTCTTTGTTTCAGCTATATACCACACATGCTCCCACCATTTTTCCATCTTCACTGATGTGTGTAATAGGACAAAATTAAACTATTTGCAAAATGATATTTAAATAAAGTTATTAATTTAAATTTTACAACTCCCTCAGATTTCATCATTAAATAATACTCTGGAACTGGTATGTGGTCCAGAGTAATGTAATATTCTTAACATACAAAGACATTATGCATTTTGTCATCTATTCTTTACAGGTTATTTAATTTATTCCTGTCTTTTACTAACAATATATTAAAAAAAAAAATTATTAAGGATTCAAAGAGTAGACTCATTTTTCAAGCATAACGTAGAATGTCTATTTTGTTGAGAGCCTGAGTATGAAATCAAGGTTAAACATGGAAACAATGTATTAGGTGGGTTGTCTCTGAAACAAATTCAACAGCTAAGTCTTGTGAACAAAGATTATTAGATTTACAGAATTTAATTCTTGGCAAGAAAAGGAGGAAGTAAACAGCAGACATGATATTTTGTGCACTTGCACTTAATTTGTAATTTAAATTAAATTTATATTACATTATTTTTACTTAAAGAAGAGGGACTTACTCATGGAAAGATGTTTTGCTTTTTGTGGCTTGTTTTTTTTCTTTCTTTTTTTAAATGTGTCAGTCCAATATGGCTATATCATTGTTGTTGTTACTATTAAACTAAGAGAACAAAATAGAAAAAGTAGCATGACTCCATGTATGGACACAACTATGGATTTACAACAGTGCTTAAAGTGCTTTCTTATTTGAGGAGATACTTACACAAGCCTTTTCATGCTTATCTCCTTGTCACCAAGTACTATACGCTTGTTGCTCGTTCTTATGTCATTTATGCTATAATGATAGGGTATTGAGTTCATATTCAGAGTTTAGTATATTGTCATAAAAAACATCTGAAAACAGGAAAATGACAATTCTATTTGTGTATTATTACAGCAATTTGAAAATTTTATTAAATACTGAAGTGCTTCATTTCTTCATTTATTCCTTTGCTTCCAGTGTTGCTTAAAGCACTATGTAAGTACAAATAGATCATACTAAAAGCATATCCATCCTATTCTGGGGTTTCAACTAGGATTATTTACTGATGTCTTGCAGAACAGAGATGAATTTATGATCCCACGTGACCATTTATCTGCTGATGCTGCAAGATGTCTTGCCTCCAGGATTGGTTTCCACATACATGGTTCACCAAAGGTCTACATCTTATGAATATTTATACATTGTTATGTCTTGTTGTTAAGTGGCAGTGCTGTAATGTGAGATGTCAAGTAGTATACTTTAATTTGCCAGTACCAGAAGCTGTGGGAGCAGCAGAAGCTGTGGCTTGACTGCCTACATACAAAGGGTCCAAACAAGCCACTTTGGCCGCAAAGAATGAGTGGATACAGTGAAGGACTGCAAACAGGTTGGAAAACTCCAGCTCCTGGAAGGGAAAACAAAAAGATTAAACATGAAACAAAAGAATACCTCATAAACATATACCCAGGAATGAACCGCTATTCAAATAGCAATAATTTTAATAGTTTGACGTAATTCTGCTAATGTGCCTGATGATTCTCCATTATAGGGACTTAGACATTGAGCTATCCCCATTCAGTAAATAATTGTTTGGAGGCTAAGATGGACAAATTTTTGAGTTATGTGCCTCCATAGAAATATGAAATCCTACTGGCTAAAGGGGAAGAAAAGTGACACTATACAATATTTTTTTTTGCCTCGGGTTAATGCAAATCTGACACTTTTGCAGGTTAATTTAGATAGAAATTGAATGACTGCACCATAACAGTCTACACATTTCTGGACTACTACTATATACCCAATGTACCCACAAAGATCGACAACATTGAGTTCCACATGTGTTACTTTTGTTCATCGTGTCACCTCACACCGGTAGCTATTATCTTACCTATTTCTGATTCTTTAACCAAAGAAAAAAGACACCTTTTCAGAAAGCGCTACTATCACACAGTGATATTCTGGATCCGTTTTCATTGAGAGGGTTACTGTTATTGCACCGAAAAAAGGAACAGGCTCCATTTGTTAAACTTATTAGCAATATTAGACAAAGTCCTTCTTTTTCTACTTTAATTTACATTTCTTTATAGCTCCTCAGCATGTGATTAGACTAGCTGGGACTCTTTTAGATACCACTGCAAAGGAAATGAATAAAAACTACATTTTTTTACATATATAAATTTACTCCTTTGTGTCTAATTGTCTTTATCTGTCTTTTTTAGGTTATCTTCAGTATGTGTTTTTGGAGTTGTCATTTAATCAATAAATATCTGTTGTATTTGAAAGCAAATACTGAGGTATTTGAATACATATAAGTGTAAGGATGGTGGTGCAGAGCTGCCGTCTTTCTGCTTTGATTCACTGCCTATACACATTTCTTCATTGTAATATGAAGCCAGTAACAGATATCTGTGGTATATTCTATTTGTCTTTCTGTCTCCAGCACTGGTATTTCCACGCTATGTAGTGCCGAGGGTTTTGCTTTTTTGTTTAGAAGAATATTGATAATGTTGTAAATTCAACAAAAATTGCTAAATCTCTCAAAATGACATTAACCTGTAATTTTCTGCCTCTTGAGATTTCCTGGAAGATATTGCTTCACGTAATTCATGGAGACATTCACAAATCCCTCATGTGCGAGGGGGAACAACTGCCTGAAAGCAGACAGCTGCATGTGCAGAGTGTCCAGTGATGTACTGAATGGGTACAGCTTTGTTCAGCTCTCTTACAACCTGAGCAGATGTCCTTCAGACATGCTCAGAAATTAATTTATAACATCCCATGAGCTTCTTTAAACTCCCCTAACTACCATTTCTCAATAAAGAAGATAAAGTTTATGCCAAGTTTCACAAACCTGCCATCTGTGTCCATTTAAAAAAATCTGTTTAGATACATTCTTATTTTTAAACATCAGGTGAAGGGCAATTTTATCACTATGCCAAAGGTTTTTTTCCTCCCTCAAATTTCAAAATAAGAGAATTTATCATAGATAGGAAAACAATGGAAATTCAAAGAAGGAATTATGGAAGCTATTTCAGAGGAAGAACTATCAGTCATTCAAATTAAGTTACTTTTCAGTTAACTCCTTTTTATTAATATAATATTATTT